CCAAATTATTGACCACAACCCAAGCAAGATGAACCTGTTTTCTAGGGACCTTAGAGTTGTTGGCCTTTTGTTTTCCCAACCTGTCTTCTGGTGGAGGGGCTTGCTGCTCTGTTACTCGGGCAACCCTGTTTGGGCAGAGTTGCCCTGTCCCCTGTGGGGGGAGATGGGCTCAGCGAAAAGCGGTTTTTGGGGGCTTTTGTTTTCTGGCGGCTTTTCCTGGAGGCTTTCCGTGTCTCTTCCGAGAGTCAGAGCAGAAGAGATCGTTTCCAACCCTCTGCCTCAGAGCAGAGAGATCACAGTCTGTTCTTCAGTGAGTTCTCCAGGCCACAGTATCTCTGTTTCTGTCTGTGCTGCTATAAACTGCAGCATCCTGGGTTGTGCGCCCCTCAGCAAGGCTCCCAGTCCTCTCCTCCAGGTCAGGGCATGTCTTTGTCCTTTGTGCTTCTATAACCACCAGCCATCCCCAGTTCACACATGTGGCCCCGCCACTCCAGGTTTCAGTCCGGGGGGCTGCCCTAAAGTCTTTTCCCCACTGCTACTGGTCTGCGAGTCTGTGCCCCGTGTCCCCAACGTGGGAGGCTTTTGCGCTCCTATGTTATTTCACCTTCCTGGCACCAGCACTTATGGTAGCTCCCTTCCCCTTCCGTTTTTCTTCAGATACGTGCCTGTAGAATCACGGCTCCCTGTTTCACACCTCGAAACAAACCGCCTGTGATTTTCTGTTTGTAGAGATCCAGATCTCTCTTCTTACAACTCAGGCTGATTTCATGGGTGTTCAGAGTGGTCTGGTAGATATCTAGCTCAATTCCGGGGGCCAGTTGGAATAGGTCCACTACTCCTCCACCATCTTTTCTCCTATCTTTTGTAAATATCTTTACCTGTAGCCAGTGATGCTTCACAGACAAATAGAAGAAGTTAGAAGGACTCTATGGTGTGTGCAAACTATTGGGGAAAATGATGGAGACTCTTTTAATTGTTTAAGACAGAAACATATTTTTCTTTTAAGTTAAAACTTCATGCTCTTTTAGCTGATAACACTTTAAAAATTTCTTGTGGAAACTCCTATCCACAACCAAATATTTATCCACAAGATGTTTATCTACTAGCAGAAGTGGTAGAATGATATTCTAAGCAGACAAGAGTTTTAAAAATCTTCTTTACCTGCCTATCACAATGAAGAGCCAAGTCACAAGAACCAAGGGGCCTCTGACTTTTGCAGAGAGGAACAGAGCTTCACAAGATAGTAATAAAGACATAGAGCTTTGAACAGCCTTAAAAAACTTCTCACACAGAATAAATATTAAATTTGCCTGGTAGGTTTAGAGTATGTTATGTTGTAATTCATAATATACAGGAACAAAAATGCAAGGCAATATATTCAAAATAAGAGTCCTTCCATTTTTTTCCCAACACAGACATTGATATTCAAAATTTTTTAAAGGCTACCGAGAAATATAAGTAGCCTCAAGAGGAATAAATATTCTTCTATTGTGTGTATGTACATGTGTGTGAGAAAGTGATTCAAATTCACTAGTCAAGTATATGGGGTGAGTGGTTTATAGACTAACCCAGAAATATAAACTACGAGGGAAAAAAATGCAATGAAACAGCTTAACTGCTGAGTGCCAAATAAACAAACAAACAAACAAACAAAAAACAAACAAGCAACAATATGAGGAAAACTGAGGAGGACTAAAAGGGTCTTTTTACTCCACTGTTGGTAAATTTGTCCTCTGCAGCCCTCCACGGAGTTAGAAGGGGAGAAGATCTGGAAGCTTCCTAGCTAATTTGAATGCTCTAAGTAGTCAGTCCACATAATTCATGTCCAACTATGGATAATTTTTTGGCTTAATGTTCCAATTTGGATTGTAATACAGGACAAATTACCTGGCCTTGCAAATATCTACTTTAGTATGTGATACACAGCCAGAGTTCTAGAAAAAAAATGACAGTATTTCTAGATGAAAAATTAAATTAGGGGAGTAATAAAATATTAATATAAAGCTAACTATTTCAAGTTGTAAACCAGGCATATACTCAAAGCCACGTTGGGAATAATGGCATAAAATACAAAATAGAGATGATAATAAAAGGAGGCTTTTTTTTCTTTCAGATGCTGTAATAGTAGGAAAGGCACTCTGTTTTAATAGCTTTCCTAGAATAATTCATTTTACATGGTAGTCTTGATTTTATAGTTATATATTTCCATAGTGTACTTTCAAATAAGAAGTAGAAACTGAAAATTAATTGAGTATCAGGAATATTAGTATACGTGGCTGCCTAGGGAATAAAACGTATAGTAAAGCAAAGACTAAGACAAGAGCATATGCAAAAAAAAGAGAACTCATACTTTCGAGGCTCTCACACTAATGAAGATCTCGATGTGAATTAATGATTACGAACTTAAATTACAAAATCAATGTATCACTGAAAACTTATTTTAATTAGCTTTTGCTACTGTTTGTGTACTTTTCCTCTAGCTATCATGATAACATGATTTGATTTTTCTTAGATTACAGACTACTGAATATATCTAATTTCCCTTTAAAAATACTCAATGGTTGACCATCAAAAAAAGTATTTTAACTACAAATTACAAACTTCAAGCACAGTAAGTAATGTGATTATCCTCATTCGTCCACCATTATTTATGACATTATGTTGGTTTCCTTAAGTATAATTATGCTACTCTAAAGATATAAAATTCTAAAATAACACAACTAATAGTAAGGATGCCTAAATTAACTAAACTGATTTTTCCTCAAAGACTATATGTAAATAAACATTTTAAATATCTAAGCCGATTTCCCATTGACTTACACACTTAATAAACAGGAGAAGTGATCCTAAGGAAAAGAAATTACCAAAAAAGCCCCAAACAAATGAATTTGATCATCATAAATTCTAGAACTTGTTTAAACATAACCCATCATTTTTGTTGGTCATGTTTTCTATTTCATAGTTTGTATATTTTTACTGCCTCTAACAATAAACCCCTAAGCTTGTATAATATGGCAAGGCTTCTGCCCTTCTCTCTGGCTGCCACTCTTAGCAGGCTCCAACTAAAGGTGGGCCAGCATAGGTGTTACCCATGAGATGGTCCCAGTATAGGCTCTAGCCCTATGCTACTAGTCATTTTGACCGTCACGGCACAGGGGTGACCAGATAGCTATGCCACTCAGAGCTTGCGTAATGCGTGATACATTTATTTTCAATTTCATGTAGTTGGTAATTAGTATATGTTTGAATAATAAACGATGAAGGATGTCAGAAGTAGAGTAGCTAGTAGCAAAAGAAAGCACACCAAGTGATAACAAACTAAAATATTCAGAACTAGTATTCCTCATTTTCCCATGAAGCTCTATTGCTTCTTGTCAAGGCTTATCTTTCATATAAACAAAAACACTAAGTTCCTCATGTCATGATGTTTAAAGGGCAGTTTCCCTCATAAAACTTTTCTCAAAGTTTTCCAGGGAAGGGACTAACATTTCCCACCTGCCCTGAAATTTCCACCATTAAAGGAATTCTTTTGGTTTAGGTAAGAAAGATGGTGCTGTGCATATGGGGGATGGGCTATCCCATTAATGAAATGATACGAATTAATTTATCAGATTAGCCAATTAATACTGTAGAGGAATTGACAGCTGGGATGGGGGCAGTGCTAGATGCTGAAGGCAAATGTCTATTTTAGTTTTTATATCTTAATGTTATTCAGGGTGAAAGGGACAAAGATGTCTAGAGCAACATTTAAAATGTTGGTATCAAATGTACTATTTATGCATAAAGCGATTTGTGGTAGATTTATGTTTGGTATTACTAATAGTTTCACCATGCTCAGAAGCAAAGATATTATAAAAAAAAAAGGATTTTCCCATGCACCTTGCTATGGAAACTCATTAAAAGTTCCAAAAAACCATAATTACTGCCTGAACAATTTCATCATATTCTCAACTGGCTCTGAGGTAGGAGCAATGAACCTAATCTACATCCCACTGTCCAAGGGAAATCCTTGATCAGTTATAATTATTAAAAAAATTTTTTTGCAAGCATATACAAAAAGTTTTTCTAATTTTTATTATATAATAATTATATTACATATAACTTAATATATAATTTGCTATATTTATATTTATTACCTATAATTTAATATACAGTTAATATATATAATTGACATAGAAATGATTTGTATCATTTTACAAAACCATAACTTGACTGTAATCTGCTTTTAAGATAATTATTTTTCACACAAAATAGGGATGCCTATCATTAGAGAACAAAGCTGAAGGAATTTCACAAATTCATTTCATATGAGGGAAAAGAGTCATCATAATGTATTAAGTTTTAGACAAATGTTTCAGAACTACTTTCCGTTTGGTTTATGACAAGTTTTTTTTAAACTTTATGTGAATTTACTAATCTATAAGATATATTTGTATTCTAAATAATTGCAAACAGAAAACCTCGGGTAAGGCAAGTCCCAGCACTAATCCATGATTCATTATCTAAACTTTAATTGGCACAACTCTTGAAACTCTGGGACCATATGGAAAATAATGAGTCCTAATAGGTCTAAGGTGGAGGGATGGTAGAGGAGTGAGGAAGCCAGAAAACCGTCAATTCAGAATGCTTAGCCACTGCAGCACAATCTCCCCAGAGAGCTAGAACAATGTGTTCTCAATGTTTTACTGGTTTCTCCATCACATAACTAAACTGCATGTTATTTCTCTCATTCTGTGAGACAAAAGTTAAAATGAGAAAACAAAAACAACCCCAAAACTGGTTTCCATAATTAAAAATGAAATTGGCTGACTGTTAATAAAAAAGGCAGCAATTTAGAGTTACCATAACAACCCGAGGCAACTGTTGACTGACACTGCAATCTGCCACCTTTTTATAAATAGCAGTTGATTCCCCCTCTTTCATTTTAGCTGGTTTTAGTGCTCAATGGAGCTAATGGAACAACTGTGCTTTAGAACGACTTCACTCATCAAGCAGTGTACCTCTTCGCTGCTGTCACTGCCGTAAAAATCATCCTCTGATTCGGTGTCTCTCCTTGTCACACTGGCATCCTCTTTTAGATCCAAAATAAATGGGCACCCCTCTGGGGACATGTTCTGAATTTTTCCATGAGGTGCTGATCGTGGTCTTGATGAAAAAGTGAAAATGTCCTTTGGAACAACCTGGGTTTCCTCTGCCAGTTGACCATGTTCACTCTCCTTGCTGGCTTCCAGCCACAGATGTGAAGCGTGGCAGGAATCATCATCCAGAAGGAGAGACTGTCTGCTGGATGCCAAATGGGAAATGTGATCAACATTTTCAGGAAATATCCACTCATCTGACATTTGGGAAAGATGACAAAAATTAGAGGAGTGTTCCATCAGTGTTATATTAAGGCAGGTAGTTATGTTAAAATTTCTTGGGTTGAAACAGAGATTTATCAAATAATGCAGAAGCCAAGGAATGCAATTTATCCACCATCTTGTAACCTGCTAAACATTTAACCCATAGATCAGTGCCTATAGTTACAGGCAACTCATTTGCACTTCCTCTCCCTCTGATTTGAAACACTGGCCAGGAAATTTATAAGTCTGAAATAATTATCACCTGTCTTGCAGCAAGTTCTTCATAGCACAGCCTCATTAATTTGACATTCCAGGAGGGAAGAAATCTTCCAAATTTAAAAGGGTTTGAGTTACTAATATCTTCTTTTAACTGCAGGACAGAATATTTAACGTTTCTTTAAATAAAATAACTGGGTATTGTTTGGATTACAAATCATGGAGGAGAGGAAACCATGAAAAGGTTAACAGGCTTTTCCTTTCCATACTACTGACTGAAACAGGACAATTCATAGACTAAACTGAGTAGACTTTTCCAGTAATAGTAAATCCACAGAAACACTTGTTAATGTGATTGGTGAAAAAGATCTTTAATTATAGGAGAGAATGTTTTGATACATTTTGATACATTTTGCACAACATTATTTGTTTTAAAAATACTGTATACTACCACTGGCATACATTTTAATCAAAACTTTAAAAAATTTTGAACTTTAAAATAACTTAAAATTTTTTTGAAATTTAGTTGACACACAATGTTATGTTAGTTTCAGTTGTACAACATAGTGAAAAGATTTTAATCTTTTATGTAACATTGAGACAGATTTTTGTAACTATGATCCAGGCAAACTGACACAGACAAATATTTATAATGAATGTCATTAAAAGCATGCTTACTTTCTTTAGAATGACAGCAGGAAGAAGCTGCCTTTTTCTCAACTTGGTCTATTTTCCTTAAAATTTACTTTTTTTGCTGCATTATGTCAATGGTGAAAATCTTAACAAAAATCTGTGTTCAGCAGAACCAAAATGTGGACATGGTAATTTTACCCCGACTCTTGAATCCTGCTATATCTATCCTCACAAGAAAAGTAATCAAGAGATATCTAAGATTTGCTGACTTGAAACTCTAAAGCCTATACAGTACAAAAGCAACAAACAAAAAGACCTTTAATAAAAATAACATTAATGGCACAAATAAAATCATATTCATCATAATGTATTCATTTCTTAAGACTATCATTATATAATATAACTTGCTTGTGAAAAGGGTAACAAATATACATTTCTTAGAGAAAATCTGTAACTTTCATATTTTCTGTAAGTAAGTGGCCCACAGCAGGCTGAATCTACTTCATTGGACCACATTCATAAGGGGATGTGGAGGGTCTGGAGTCAGTGTACCGTGAGCGGGTGAAATAAACAGATTCACTGGGCTGTCCTCTTTTGAACAGCAAATCCTTTTGCATGGTGTTAAGCACATAGCAGATATTTTGTAAACACAGTAGATGCTTTATTAAAAAATAAATGTTGAAAAAGATCATAAAAACCAATGGGCTGCATTAAGTACATTGATAGTAAAGAAAATTGGAGGAAAAGATACTGGGACTCTTCATTATGCAATTCAAAAACTTGCATGACCTATTGCCAAACATATTATTAGCTGTCAAAAAGTCAAAGTAAAAGGAGTGTTTCTACACCAAACGAACTCTAATTATCTCACCACCACATGCTTTTTTGGAATTCGTAGTTTTACCTCAAGTATTTCCATATCAATTGTAATGAATAATTTGGTGTGTTTTCTTAGGAAAATATGTAAATTACTGTGTAATCACAATATTGCAGCAAACAAGATAAATGCAAGAATGATCACCTAAACATCTAATTAGTTTTTCTACACAGTCAGATTTATGCTAGAGACACTAATTGCGCCTAACATTTTAATGAAGGTTTCAACATTGCATAAATAAGACTGACAAACTACAAACAATTTTCATTTATTTTCCTTTTTCCCTTTCTCAAAAACAATTCGCCTTTGTAAAAGTACTACACACCTGCTAGGAAAGATATGTTGATGGGCTCAATGCTCTACACTCCAACCATCTCCATTATAAAGAGGACTGGAGACTTGCAACAATAGGTAATCTTTGGGGACAGTGACAATGCCCTGTGAAAACTTCAAAGTTTCAAAATTTCCTTCTGAACAGGATAACTGGTGCATTGAAACTTGGAAATAAAAATGTCTTTTCATCCATTAAAGTCTGACATGCAATTGGGGTTAAGAGGAGATTTATCAGAAAATGACAGATTTTAGCAAATGACTGCATCACAACTTCTCAAAATGACTGGGTTAAACATACTGATATTTCATCAATTATTAATTACAGTGGACTAAAGATGCCAACCTGCTTGATCAGGAGACTGCAGTGCTGGAGAGCTGGGTTTCATCTCTGTGCTTTGTTGGGACCCACTGTTGAGGGCAACTGTTGCTTTATCTTCATTCCTGTTATTTCCTGAAGAACTGCCTTTATTGGAATAAATATTTTCCACAACGTTATTTCTTTTGATTTTTATAAAAGTTCATTTTGAAGAATGCTATTAATGCAGTGTGCTTTTCTAAGTGATTATTGAAAAGCACATTAGAGGTGACGATACAGATTATCTGCAGTTCTTTTCTCTTCCACTAGAATTTTTCAAAGATGAACTCAGCTGCATTTTTGTGAGGTTCATCTTTAAATTCCTTGATATTTGCATGGGGACATTTTAGATTTAAGTTTTACAATATGCAATAAAAGGAATTCCAAAACCCATATTATATTTAAAGGGTCCTATATTTTTCCCTTTGGTTGCACATAAAATGGAGTGTGTTTTCTTTAAATTACAATTCTTACACAACCTGACTTAAAATTTTAAACCAAGCACTTTCCTTCAGCATCTTAAGAAAATGGACACAGAATTAACTTTTCTATCTACTATTTTATAAAAATAACATGAATCCTAACAAGCTGAATTTCAGCCTACCTAAGAACTCCTCATTTTTGAGAAATTATGCTAACAGATGTGTACATGATATACTCTGGGCTTGACTCAGGATATATGAATGCATGTGCAGACAGATCTATACTTAAATGCCTCAAATCCAATATTCAAAGGGATAACTATAATAGCCACCTATATTTATCTAAGGCTTTATTGGTTGCAAAGAGTTGAAATTTTAACCTACATTCTATTAGATGGCATGGAGTCCAAAGGGAGAGACAGCAAATGTAAAAACACACACACACACACACACACACACATATATGAAAAGGGCCCAGTTTAAAAAGAGGAGATATAAATGAAACATGAAAAATTATGAGTTAAGTTCAATTTTAGTAAAGTCTGCAGGCAGGAACTTCCTCTATCAAATTTGGGCTGTTTCTAAAAAACAATAATATAAGCTTATTCGCCTTTGACAGTAGAAGTAGGGAAGTCCTTTACTTCTGTGGTACTGTCTATTTAATCCAGCAAATCTCTGTTAGGGCTCTAGAGCAATTCTTTTGCAGAAAATTTGATTTCCATAATCCCTGTAGAAAAGACATTTATATTTTAAATGAATTGGTCCATAATCCTTTGAAATTTACAACCTGCAGAGAGAGACTCCATTGCTCTGCATAATACACAGATAAAAGATAGTATTGAATTAGTGCGTACCGCTGTGTGCCTCTGTCCTTTCTCTGCTGGTGCTTTTTAACCATAATCTTCTCCTGCTATTATTCTTATCTGCTGATGGTTCTTGAGGGGGATGTGGATGCATAACTTGCAGATTGGCTGGTACATTTTCATATCAAAGAACAAAAAGCCAGAACAGAAAATACTATATGGTTTGAAATAACTCAGTAAATATAATTGTAGCTATAATGAGAATGTTCATATCAGTGTGACATCATAAAAAGCTGTATCAAAACCACAACTTATTCCTTCTTGGAAAATAGGCACTTGTTCATAGTCCATTATTGGGATCGTATCAGGCTTTCAAAATTACTGAGACATTTTATTCATGTAATATAACCTTATAGAGAGTTACAGGTAATTTGGTTAATTATACATACAACATGCTATATTAAAAATATAAAAAATGAAATGGATTGCTAATATAGAAAAATAATTGCTTCCTTTGAAAGAGGAAGTCAGTAAGTATGATTCATTAACAGCTTGGAAGGTAGTTTCCTAAAGAACCCTGGAGAACTGCGATCAAACCTGAAAAAGAACTCTTAAGTGTAATTTAATTGTGTAATCATCATCATAATACTTAGCAGCATTCATAGCAGCATCTAATATTTACTGAACGCTCAATTTCTTGGCACAATATGATGTGCTTGATTGGTTTTTCTTGTTGAATCCTCACAATGACCCTTTGAGGCAGTCACTCTTCATTACTACTACTAGGCCAGTAGCAATTTTATTCCCATTTTACAGATAAGGAAACTGAGGCCCACAGGGTTTAGGAATTTTGATCAAGGTCTTACAGATGGTGGTAGAACCAGGACTGAATATCTATGGTCTTTACGTCCTTCTCTCAGTTTTGTACTGTATGAGAAATATAGTCTGTAATAGTGATCATTAATCTCTAAATCAAATAAAATGAACCCAAATGCCTTCCTTTCAACTCTCACAAAAGTCAGACATGCAAGAATGGAAAAACTATAGTGAGTGATAAGCCTTTGGTACTGGTCTCAATTCTTTCCAATGATTACAAACTGCAAATCATTTTACCTCTCTGTTAGCCATGAACCCTCAATCTACAAAATGGGACAAAAGTCTCTTCTTCACCAACAGGGTTCTCTGTGCATCAACAGGAGAAATAAAAGCACTTTACAAATGGAAGAGATTAAAAGATAAAATTAAGAAAACTTAAAATGCACATGGAGTTCCCAAAATATAGTTATTATAGAATGCTATGTTATTTCCTCACCAGTCATCATAAAATAAAAACAGGGTACTATGGCAATTCGAAATAATGGAATAAAGAGAATATAAAGAGAATGATAGGTGGGGCGCCTGGGTGGCTTGGTCGGTTAAGCATTCGACTCTTGATCTTAGCTCAGGTCTTGATCGCAGGGTCATGAGTTCAAGCTCCTTGTAACCTACTTTAAATAAATAAATAAATAAATAAATAAATAAATAAATAAAGTATTAAAAAAGAGAGAGAGAGAGAATGATAGGTTCCAGAAGAGAATATATGTATAAGAATTTGAAACAGATTTCAATATCCACCACCTTTTTCATTTTTAAATGATAATTCTCTGGATGTTAAGATCTAATCAAGAATTTAACTTCAAATTTATCTTCACAAGAGCATTTCTATTCTCCCCTAGCTATTGACACTTATGCATGATTCTTACCACGAACAGGTATAGTCTGCTTTATTTGGCGAATATTTTCTTTATCTGCTTGCTCCTCAGACTCCGGCATCAGCGAGGCTGACATCTCTGCACTGCTAACACAGTCCTCAGCCACAGACTGTTGGCGTGATCGGTTATTTCTGGACCCAACGGATCTTACTGTCTGTAAGGGACAGGAATTAATCTTCACATTTTACAATATGGGAATTGCATTTATTTCTTGTAGAATTTACAGAGACTAATAATATTTGGACAAATAAAAAGTGAGAAAAGAAACGAGGAAATGAGAAGTTTAGAAAATTGGTGGAGAGGGGAATTATAGCAGAAAATTAGAAAGAAATGGAAGGAGAAATATAATGTGAGACAAAATAGAAGACAAACAAGTCTTCTAGACACATAAATTAAAATGTGCTTATACTCCATCTTTAGTAGGTAGGAGTTGAACTGAAAATCGCTGCGTGTGTCAGAAATTCAGAGGAAATTAAAAATAAAAATATAACATTTGAGAATCTGTTCTTCGTAAGGTATCTGGTGAAGGTCCAACTCCTTTTTGAAGGAGACCGCAAAATGTGTTCATATATATTTGCCTTTAAATTTTGTGAACATATTTAATCAAAAGAATACTCAGAAATGGTAATTGTGTTGACATGACAAAAATAAAACAGTTTTGAGGTCTTTTAAAATCCAGAATTTCTGTTCCAAATTTATTCAAGCCTTATGCTTTTGGCATGTAGTCTCTCTCCCTCTTTCCCCCGCCACCACCCGTGCACTGGGAAAGAACCCTTCTCTTCCCATGCCCCTCATGCTTAGACAAGCTCTTCAAACCTTGCTCCTACCTCACTGGATATCCTCATGTTATTCCTTCTGCCAGAGAGTGGAGGTGGTCCCAGAACTCTGGATCCGAAAGCGATATGACAAACATCTTGATTTTTACTGTTCCGCACACTACCTGTTCCCCTGTTAATGAACTGATCTGTTTTGTTCAAAGAAGGTAATAATAGTCCATTAATGGGCATAATGACAAACACCATGTTGCAGTGCTTCTGAAAGTACAATCCAGGTGTCATATGATCTGAATCCCCCTTCCCCACTACAGGTCGCTTATAAAAAATGCAGATACTGGAGCCCAACATCAGATCTACCAGATCTACAGAATTAGAATCTTGGGGAGGAGCAGCAGAAATCTGTAATTTTAACGAGTTCCTCCAAATGGTTCTTATGCTCACTGTCATTTGAGAACCACTGCCATAAATATTCTTCCTCAAAGAGAGAGAGAGAGAAAAGAAAAGAAAGAAAGCTACTAAAAAATACATCTTATTTTCTCTTTAAGGAAATAATTTAAATAAAACTATTTAACTCAATTGAACAAATATTTGATTGAGCACTCTTGAGCTTTTCCTAGAAGTTGTCAGTGATACAAAATAACTAAGATATATCGCTTGCCCTCAAGGGAGGTGAGAGTACAAGTAAACAGGTAACCATAACATAAAGCAACTCAGTGGAAATGAAGAAAAGTGACCTCTTGTTCTTCAAAAAATTAAAAATAGAATTACCCTACAATGCAGTAATCACAGTATTGGGTATTTACCCCCCAAATACAAAAACACTAATTTGAAGGCATTCTTGTACCTCTATGTTTATTGCAGTATTATTTACAATAGCCAAACTATGGAAGCAGCCCAGGTGTTCAGTGATAGATGAACAGATAAAGAAGATGTGGTACATATATACAATGGAATATTATTTAGCCATAAAAAGAATGAAGCCTTGCCATTTGCAAAGACATGGATGGAGCTAGAGAGTATAATGTGAAGCGAAACAAGTCAGTCAGAGAAAGACAAATACTGTATGATCTAACTTATATGTGGAATTTAAGAAGCAAAACAAATGAGCAAAGGGGAAAAAAAAAAGAGAGAGAGGGACAACCATGAAACAGACTCTTAACTCTAGAGAACAAACTGATGGTTAGCAGAGGGGAGGTAGATGGGGGGTAAGGGTGAAATAGGGGATGGGGAGTACACTTATTATGATGGGAAAAAAAAGAGTAAGTGACCCCTTGAATGGAGTTTGAATGACTGATAAGATTTCAAGAATAAAAGATGTAGGGTGCCCTAGAGAGAAGAGAGTGAATAAAGACAAGGAAGAGTGAACTGGTAGGGTATGCTTGGGAAGCAATGAAATTACCAGTTTAGGTAGAAGGATGGGTTTGGGTCACACTGAAAAGAGCCTTAAATTGCTAAGAGCCTATTTTAAATTTGGTAGGTGATAGGGTATCATTGAAAATTTTGGGGGAGAAGGAGAACAAACTGATAGGACCTCCAGGATAAGGCAGGTGTGCTGACCAAACCTTGCTGCCTTTCCCTTCTGGGCACACAGCTATATTACATTTCTAAGCCTTCCCTGTAGTTATATGGGTCATGTGACTGACTTCTGGTTAATGAGACGTGAGAAGTGAAATGTGAGACGTGTAAACTACTTCTTGGCCCCTAAAACCTCCCGCATAATTCCCCCATACTCCCTCTTCCCTCATCTTGACAAGATGCAGAAGATCGGGGGGAGGGCTGTAAGGCCTGGAGAAGAACCACTAGGTGAAAGGAGTCTGGGTCTCTGAATGACCTCATGGAAGGCTGCCCAAGGAACTCCTGATTGGACGAGGCTGTGGGGCTCTTTTTGACTGTAGGTGAGGGTGATGGACCTTAACTCAAAAAACTGCCTGCAACCTAGAAAACCTTCTGCTATGCCCACTTGCAATACAGGACCAACCTGAATATTATGATGTTGGCTCCAAGTAAGTCCACATTTGTCCTACAGTCCTGGCTATATATGAGCTACTGGCTACTTCCTGTCTGACCTATTCTCCAGAAAAAATTCCTATAGTTAGGTAGGTGGTTTCTTTAGCCTCTGCTGCAGAGCTGTAACTTTACATGTGGAGTTAAAAACCACTCTTCTGCAATGGCATGAAAAAAGGCACCAAAGTTTGTGAAAACACGCCATGCTTAGAAAGCTCTACTTGTTTAGATCTGAGTAGAATATGTGTGGGTAAATGGGTGTTTTCTGGGTCTGGTTTTATGTTTGCAGTAGATGAAGCTGAAGAGATGGCAAGGGCCAGACTGTTGACATGTTCTGAAAGAATGTTTGCTGGACAGAAAATCTAAGGTGGTTGGCTGGCAAAGTGGTGAAGAGATACACCATTCCAGTTTTCTTCAAATTCTTGAAGCCCTGTTAGGTAGAAGAGAGTTTCCATTTGTCCAAAGGGCAGAATCAGAACTAATGAGAAGAACTGACTTCAAGGTTTTAGTCCAACATGAGGAACATCTTTCTTTAAGTATGTCTGGTCATTGTGGTGGAGAATTTTCTGTCATTCTGGCTCTTATAAAGCAGATTCAGATACCAGAGGACTCCCTGCTTTCTATTTCTGGCCTAGTCCTCTCTTCTGAGTTCCACGCCTTGTATCCAGTGGCTTTCTTGCTCAGTTCCTCTCCCATGTCTTAAAGACACTTCAAATGGAGAATGTAGTCCAGTGAATGGCACCACAATCCACAGAGTTTGAAGAGTTAGGATCTGGTTGCCATCTCCACAGCCAACACAAGTCTACTTCTCTCTACCTCCTCGGTCAGCACTGCAGTCCAGTGACCGTCATCCTTCTCCTGGATGATCATAGAGCCTCTCAAGGGATCTCCCATGTCCACACTGGCTCCCTGTCCCATGCCCTCTCCAAATTGTAGCCAGAGCAGTCTTAGGCAAGCATATACCTGATCAAGTCATTCCTTTTCCTCACTTTAAAACTTTTCAATGTCTTCCCTGCTGCAGTTAGGATTAGGAAGAAAGACCTTAACAGTGGCTGCAAAAACCTACATGTTCTGACTTCAGTTCATACCTTTCACCCCTCATTTTCTGCTCTCTCCACAGACTGGCCTCCTCAGTTCTTCCTGCCTACCAGAGCATTTGTGTGTGCTCTTCCCCATGCCTAGAAGGCTCTTCCAGTGTAGGTACTCCCATAACCTTTCCTTCCCATAACTTGTCAAATTGCACTTAAAATTTTTTTTTTAAATTCAGTTTAGTTAACATAGTGTATTATTGGTTTCAGGGATAGAATTTAGTGATTCATCAGTATGTATAATATATATAACATAACATAACACCCAGTGCTCATTACATGAAGTGCCCTCCTTAATGCCCAACACCCAGTTACCCCATCCCCCCCCAACTCCCCTCCAGCAACCCTCAGTTTATTTCCTAGAGTTAAGAGTCTTTTCTGGTTTGCCTCCCTCTCTGTTTTTATCTTATTTTTCCTTCCCTTCCCCTATGTTCATCTGTTTTGTCTCTTAAATTCCACATATGAGTGAAATCATATGGTATTTGTCTTTGACTGACTTATTTCCCTTAGCATAATACCCTCCAGTTCCATCCATCTCATTGCAAATGGCAAGATTTCATTCTTTAAAAATTGTACTTTTACGTGTGTTTGTGAGATTCGCTGACAATGTGTGCTTCAGTAGATATAAACTCAGTAGCCTAGTTTGTCACCCCTGAATTGCTAGCCTGGTGCCTGACATGGAATTATAGATCCTTGCTGAGCAAAATGAATGAATCATTAAATGTAATGAGTCAAATGGGATGTTGGATTAAATGACTAAATATTTCTAACTATGGCTAGAATTTCATTTTTCATTTTAAGAAAATTCCAACTGCAGGTTTTATGTGTGAATTGAGGAAGACTGGGCAGGACCGGACAACTGCCAGGATATGGGGGATGAGAGAGAAGGGTCAACAATGACCAAGACATTGATAATTACATGAGTGGTGTGGCTTTCAACATCAGTAGTGCTATGGCACCCCAATCAGATACCTACTCAGGTTACATGTGAAATGTTCTAGTGTTAGCACATAGACTTGGCTGTGTGTGCATTTGTATTTTTTTTAGTCATTATAAATATCCATTTGGAGTTAACAAAACACTGTTAGTCTCTCAGGATCAATAACAGAAAGAAATGACACTCAAATCCCAGGCCAATTGGAAAAATTTATTATAGAATCTGTCATCATTTGTACCATTTGTGACCAAGTAGAACAAATCCTAGACTATTGATTTTGTTCTCAAATGTGGATTTTCCCAGAAAGAAAGAGCCACTGAAGCGCCTGAAGGGTATGGGATATGGCTTGGGCCTACATGGGAATTTTTAGTACAGAATAGGAACTTTTCTTTTACTTCCAGTCATGGGAACCATTAGGCTATGGGCATATTTTTTTGCATATCTTTCTGTTCAAACATCTTATGGGGCAATTTCCTCAATGTTTTTTCATATTCTTTATAGTTTCCCCCAACTAATTTAAGCTCCTTTAAGTAGAAAGACCATTTATTTGGTAGTGTATGTACCTCCATCTGTGGAGCCCAGCACAGTACATGGCAGACAATGGATAAAGTTCACCACAATTGTTAAATAGTATTCAAGATTAAAAGGAAGATTTTTTAGGGGAGAGAATATTTCAAAAAATCATACTGACATAGCTCTAGCTATAATTCCAACAAAATGTACACATTAACTAGTTCATAGCTATTTAAAAAATTAAAATTCCTAAATACCTTGAATTTTTTAGAGGAATCTCTTACTTAGCAGTGGATGTCCAGTGACCATTCAAGATACACATAAACCTCATATAATATAGTCTTCTAAATCACAGAAAATTAGATATGATTCTGTATTTTATAAGAGGACCTACTATAGGATTTCTTTAAAGAGTAATCTACCACTCTGTATTTAAAGTCAAGTCTATTTCTTAAAATTCACAAATGCTAGTACACTTTTTTCACAAACCAAAGTAGACCAATACTCAACCATTAAGTATCTCTTTAATTAACAGACTTCTTTAAACTTCTTGGTACAATTAACATATACACATTCTTAAAGGCTGTTTCATTTTAGTAATTCTGTTTATAATCATTAATTGTCACAATTATCTCTATAAACATGT